GATATTTCCTTCTATACTTTTTAGCACGTAGCTATTTATTATTAGCATTATTCTTCCGACGTTTGATTTCTTTTTAATTATAGGAAATGCGTTTTTCTAAGGTACATAAACTTTCGGGATTGACTGTGTAGCCAATACATCCTTAAGAAGAAAATGATGTTCACGAGAGAATCTCAGTAGACCGATGTGAAAAATCGAGACGATCTCAAGCCGTTTAGGACTTTGTGCGTAAAATTCGAGCGTGGCTTTAGCTTCACCAACATTGTTTTCACGACGAGGTTCGAGCTTGGTCGAAGACCATACGCGTTATCGTTAACGGTTACGCGATAAATTTTCTGAAAGGGGTCCGTTGTGGTTTATCGCGCGAGGCTCGGATCCGTTCGACTCTCACCTGTCCATGCGTTTTGCGGAACGTGCAGTAGCGCAGCCTGATATATTTCGTGAGAGAGGCGACGAAGGGAGCCCGTCGAGTCGTCGCGGGACTCCGGTGAAATATCATTGTTGGCGAAGTTTCTCGGTCGTAGCCGAAACGCCTCGCGCTTCCTGTAATACCTCCCGACGTAAAGTTCGTCGTCTCTTGCGCTTCCGCCGTTTCTACCTGCTCGAGTAAACACCGGGCGGCATCCGGAGCTGCTCTCCGCATGGGAGTTCGCGAATCAGGACGAAAAACCGTTCGATCGAATCGTTCGATTTGAATTCGGTGGCCACGCGGTCGGCCCGAAGAGTCGAGATTGGAGCATGTATAATATTGCCTCGGGGCGAAAGCCTCCGAGTCACGTTCCCGATTCTATAACAGAGTTGCATTATCCTAGCGTGGCGTTATCGCGGGCCGCGCGGAGACTTTAAGATATTCTACTTGCGAACCGTGGATCGTTGACCGCCGAAAGGAGGGAATCCATTTTTGGCGACGGATTCGTGTTCGTGACGCGTTACCACGCCGAGGAAAAAGGAGATAGCGGAAACGAAGGGGGGGGGGGGACGATCGACGAGCTGTCACGATGCAACATTCGTTTTCTCGGAGACGTCGCGGCCGGGCTCGGAAATACAGAAACGACTGTCGCAGTTGGCGAAAATCGGAAACAGTCAGACGAGACGTGTTTTCGTTCCACCTGCCAGCTGGGATCGCCTAATTTCGTTCGGACAATCGAATTGTTTCAATACCGATTCCTTCTCATAGTAATAACGATGATGACAATCATTTATTCGAGAAAGGCTCGGACTGGACACGGGCAGAATTCTATAGATCTGCTTGTACTTATCGGACGGGAGCGTCGTCGCTCGAACGAGCTAAAACCATGGTCCTCGGCACGAGCCGAGATAATAGGGGCTTTTTGATGCAATTGGCCGCCTTTGAACGCGTCCGATATCGCTCGATAGGTTGCGTCCGCGCGCGTCACGATACGCGATATTCGGGGACGCGGCCTCGCGAAATGCCGGATAATTAGCAGGCTCGCGACGTGGAAATAGCCCTGTGCGAACGTCCTCCGCTTCGAATCGACCACCGGCCTCTATCGATTCATCTCTACGCCCGGTCATCGCTCGCCGACGATTCTTCGAAGACGAATCTGCTAAACGCGAGCGATCAACCGCGTAAAGTCACGGACGACGAGAGACGAACGAGCGAACGTTCCCGTCGTCCGCAACAGGTGGTCTATTTTTCTGAATTCCCTACAAATTTTCAACGAGGTTCGACGCGAGCCTGGAAACCTATCGGTTAACGATCGCGCGACAGTGTAACGACGCCTCGACGATGTTCCCCGGATAATCGCGTTCGAAGTTCGAACGACTTAACCGTGGAACATCTGGAAAATGACTCTCAACCCCAAAGATAGTTAGACACCCAATTATCGTGAGTACATATCGCTCGGGAAAAGAGAATCGCAATATGTACTCGAGGATTTACTTTATTCTCGGGGGTGGCTAACTTCCAGAACGGTTTTAACGTGGTATTAAAAATTGATCTCGACTCATTAAATTGAACGGCGCTGGCAGGTGGAGGGTTTTGCCTTACGCGACTTCGTCGCGTTATTTTTGAGAACGGGAAGAACGAGAAGTAGGTGAACGACCGTCGCGCGTCGTTCGGGCGAAACCTTTTCCGGATAATAATAGGAAGGAGAAACTCGAGCTCCCTTTGACGTCCGTCATTGGTTTCTTTGGCAATCAACGACGGTAGAAGCGGTGTAACGAGAGCGTAGTTGAGCGCGAACGTACGAAAGAGGGTGAAAGAGAAGAGGGCCTCTCTGCCTGCTGCCCCTTGTCAGCGACGGGGGAAGAGAGAGTCACGAGGCTCGACGATTCTTTTTCGCGAGCGCCTAGAGAACGGATCGGTTAATACGGTTGCCGAGGAGCAATTCCGAGGAGGTACCGCCCCTGACTTTCTACCCTCGGTCTTCTCGAAACTCGAGGGTCGGATCAACGCATACGACCGATCAGAGAATGCAAAACATTTTACCGAGTTAATTACGAGTCGGTCCACCGTCGCAAAACTCCAGAGATCTACAGACGAAACTTCCCGTACAACGGAATGCATTTCGATGATCAGAAATGTAACCCGGGATAATGCGAACCGATCGACGATTTCAAGAATTAACGTCGGTCCAACGCGTGGTCCGTTGATCCCGCAAATGAGATTCGCAAACTGGCGCGCGGACCTATACGTGGACTTCGCATTGATGGGAGGCGA